CTTTCTTTCTTTCTCTCTCTCTCTCTCTCTCTCTCTCTCTCTCTCTCTCTCCTTCCCTCTCCCCTCTCCCCCCACACTTTTGGGAAATGATTAGGGCTGCTCCTGGGGTAGAGGCAGTCAAGGAGGGAACAAGCCCCACCCATGGAAATCCATGCCTACTATTCTCTTGTCACCTATATTAGTTCCAAACTGGATCCAAAATTCCCAAGGCACTGCTGGGTGTTGAATTTGTATATAAAAACAGTCTCACAGGGCTTTGAAAGCAGATTACTGATAACAGAACCCATCTCTCTGACTCCTGTGTAGTTAGTTTTAAACCTTTAAACTTTACCAAATGGGGAATTATATTCCAAGTCCTAACTAAAAAAAAAAAGAGAAAAGAAAAGAAAAGTAATTACCTATACAATTTGAAGAGGATCAAAGATCAAAGCAATTACAAGTGGGAATACAGCCAGAGGAGACTTTGCCATTTCCTGGGGCTGGGTGGAGGGTGGGGGGAGGAACGGGAGCCTTAGCTGTGCAGCTGCTGACTGCAGAACACCCTCACAGAAATTTGGCAGAGGGGCCCTGGGTTTTGTTTAAACTGCTGTACAGAGTCACTCTTCACAAAGCAGGAGTGAAAAGGTACACCCACCTCATTTTTCTAGGGTCCCAGAAGGGGACCTGGGATTCTGTTAAGAGGCGGTATCTCAGCTGTGGTGGGGCCGGTTCAGAGGAGGAGAAGGCTCCGCTCTCAGCTAAGTAAAGCTCCCTGGTCCTTCATTTGTGCGTAGCTTAGGGTGGTTTTTATAATTATCCTTTTAAAAAATTGGGGTAACATTGGTTAATAACAGAGTCTACCTTACAAACCTTAAAAAATTTTATTGGTTAATAAAATTATATAGGTTTCAAGTGTACAATTCTATGATATATCACCCATATATTGCATTATTTGCCCACTACCCAAAGTCAAATCTTTTTTATTTTTTAAATATATTTTTTATTGATTTCAGAGAGGAAGGGAGAGGGAGAGAGAGAGATAGAATATCAATGATGTGAGAGAATCATTGATCGCTGCCTCCTGCATGCCCCCTACTGGGGATTGAGCCTGCAACCTGCGCATGTGCCCTTGACTGGAATTGAACCTGGGACCCTTCAGTCCGCAGGCCGACGCTCTATCCACTGAGCCAAACCAGCCAGGGCAGTCAAATCTTTTTTAAAAAAATAAATTTTTGTATTGATTTTTAGAGGAGAGGAAGAGAGTGGGAGAGAAACATCGATGCGAGAGTGAAGCATTGATTGGCTACCTCTTGCAAACCCCGCCCCCCTCCCGGCCCAACCACCACCAGGGGTTGAGCCTACAAACCAGGCATGTGCCCTGACCAGGAATCAAACCATCAACCTTTCAGTGCACTGGACAGCGTCCAACCAACTGAGCCACACTGGCCAGGGCCAAAGTCAAATCTTTTGTCATTATACATTTGACCCCTTTAAAAAATGTGGAACAGCCCTAGCTGGTTTGGCTCAGTGGATTGAGCGTCGGCCTGTGGACTGGAGAGTCCCGGGGTCGATTCCGGTCAAGAGCACATGCCCGAGTTGCATGCTCGATCACTGATAGGAGGTGTATAGAGGCAGCGATCGAAGACTCGCTCTCAACACTGATGTTTCTATCTCTCTTTCCCTCTCCCTTCCTCTCTGAAATCAATAAAAAAAAATATATTTAAAAAAATGTGGAACACTTCAGGAATTTGTGTGTCCCCCTTGCACAGGGCCACGCTCATCTCTGCACCATTCCAATTTTAGCATAGGTGCTGCCGAAGTGAGCAGCATTTCTATTCATTCATGGCATTTCCACCTCAACTAGGAGAGGAAAGCAGAGCTGGGATTTTTTATCTCATTTTACCGGTGAGACTGCCAAACCTCGAAAAATGTAATTGCTTTGGGCCGGCCACAGCTGGAAAGCAGCCTGGTGGATTTCGAGCCCCCGGATCAGTTTCCTTCCCCTACACTACTCTGCCTCTCAGTCTTTCCGAAGGTGCTTCACAGCTTCGGAACAGCCAGGCCTCTGTTCCCTGGCTATCAAAGGGCAAATGTGCTGGATATTCCTGAGCCCCTCGCCCAGGGCTGCAGGAAGGTCCAGGCAGCTCACCTGCCCCCGGGGCTGCTCCAGGGCCCTATCCGGTCGGCCTCCCTCTCCCTGGCACTCACTCCTCTAGCCTTGCACAGCCATGTGTATGAGGGCCAAACTCTGCCCTTTGCACAAGCCCACTTGCAGCGTCAGGCCCTCTCAAAGGACATTTTAACTTAGCTCATCCTCCAGTTTTAGCCACAGAAGGGATGAAAGCCTAGGAGAGGCCCTCACAGCCTTGGCCCTCCTTTGCCCGCACCTGCCCCTCACACCCGCTAACTCTGCCAGGAGGGATGGGGCTCTCAGCGACTCAGTCCACAGGGTGAACATTAGTCTCACAGCCGGGAACTAGGGCTCCGAGGGGAGTGCTCTTGACTACCTCCGTGATTCAGAGCTGGTGACTCAGGGACTGGAACCTCCCAACTAGTCTAGTGCTTTCTCCTCTGCACCAGACACCTTCTCCACTAGCCTGGGCTCCTTCCTGTGGGCGTGGCTCTCACTTCCAGCTCTGACTCCTGGGTTTTTCCACTGTCAGAACCTCTTCTAACAGCCCTTGCTGGGTTTGGCAGCTTGGCAGCGAGGCCTTACTCTGCCAAAGGCTAGCCACAGCCCTTAAAGCTGCAGGATTGGCAGGAGGCCACTTCAGTGGAGTTTGTTCTCTCAGACCTCCCAGCCTCACTCTCCTCTCAGGCCCCTTCAGGGCTGGCTCATGATGTCACAGAGTACCCCCAGGCTCAGCTAGTTCTCAAGCAACCAAAGTTCTCCTCCTTTCCTAAGGGAGGCTGTCAACCACAGATGGGCACAGGCTCTGCCAGCATCTCCATGGTAACCAGAGGCCGCAATTTCCTGCCTTGGGCAATGATCCAGAGCCAGTACCCTTGGCAGGGCTCCCTTGCAGACTCCTGGAGGGTTCCAGGCCCATCACACTCCACTGTCATCCCTGAAACTTGGGGACAGCCTAGGGAGGCGGCCCAGATGGGTTGCCCTGAAGACTACAGACCCAGCAGGAGTTCTCTGTGGAAGGTCCTGAAATGGGGCAGGCTGGGAAGGCCTTCCTTTGGAGGCTGTCCCCTCCCTCCCCCATAGAATCGATTGTGGGGACAGGCTTATGGGATTTGTTTTAAACCCTCCTCAGGGCAATAGGTGAAAGTTGACAATTCCAGTGTGTTAGTTGGCTTTAGACTTTGCTCTCCCTGGTGGACAGGGTGGTTGTTGTTTGGGAGATAGATTGCAATGGATTATGCAATAATCCCAGTTCCTTGCCACCTTCACCCCATAAAATAACCCCTGGGGCAGTTGAGGAGCTGGACAGCTCTCATGCAGGGCGGGGGTGTTTATCAATGTGGAGGCAGAGACTCCAGAGTGACAGGGTGGACAGACCTGCTCCTTGTGGGTTCTCCTCAGGGAGGCAGCGGGCTGGCAGGGCACCCCAGGAACAGGGATAGAGCTGACCTCACTGCCACAATCTCAAGAACTGGGAAGGTCTCCTCAGAGAGATTCTGTTTCCAGTATAAATGCGAATCAGAATGCAAAGGGAACTGCTCCTGGCTCCTCCCACCCCTTCTCAGCCCTCTGTGCACAGCTCTGCTTCCAACAGCATTTGGGCTTGGTGGAAGAGGACAGGAGGGAGCCTGAAATCGATTGTAAAGATATTGTACCAGGTGAGGGGTCACAGCCTTCCCTGACCCCTAGGGTATTGATTTTTTCCTGTTTGACTTCTTTCCCAATCTCTATGGCAGCGGTTCTCATCCTGTGGGTCGCGACCCCTTTGGCAGTCGAACGACCCTTTCACAGGGGTCGCCTAATACCATCCTGCATATCAGATATTTACATTACGATTCATAACAGTAGCAACATTATAGCAACGAAAATAATTTTATGGTTGGGTCACAACATGAGGGACTGTATTTAAAGGGCCAGAAGGTTGAGAACCACTGCTCTATGGGGAGTTTGGTCTTTGCTCAAGTTTATTTGAGCTTTTGTGATGCAGAAATAAGAATACCTGGTGGGGCTCTGGATGAGAAGCAATCTGGTTAGAGTATGATCCTGATATGCCAAGGTTGCAGGTTCTATTCCTGAATGTATAAATAAGTGGAACAACAAATTGATGGTTCTCTCGCTCTAAAAAAAAAAAAAAAGGTATCTGGTAGTGAGATGGTAGGTGGGGAGAAGGATTTTGGTCCACAGGCTGTGGGAGATTTGGAAAGAGATGCCCTAACTTCTGTGGACAGATGGAAGTGGATTAGAAAGGAAAGGAGTTTTGGTAACCACGGCTGTGGACATCACTGTGATCACCACTCTCATTTTGTCAGAGAGCAAACCAGAGATTTGAGTTACTTTGAAATTTTTAGTGATTGCTGAAAGGTGCTTCTCAATCAGTGCTGGGCCACCAGACTTCGTGGGTCTATGCGAATTGCAATAATAATCACTCGCGTGTCTACTGAATAGTTAATATGTACCAGCACTCCTGCCTTATCTAATTTAATCCTCACAACTACCCTGTGGAGTAGGGAACATTATTATCCCCATTTTACAGGAACAGGAACTGAGTCTTAGGGAGGTAAAGGCATTTGCCCAGAGTCACACACCCAGATGTGCTGTAGCCAGGCTTCATGAAATCCCGGTGGCATCTGGGCAGGCTCCCGGCTTGGAAACCAGCAGCAGCTACGGCCCCTAATAGCAGGGACACTGGGGAGTTCCTCCAGGAGATTGCTAGACCTTGCTGGAGAGGGCTCTCTGCGGGAGCTGCAAACCCTCACTGACCTAATGAAGCAGAAAATCAATGAGGTTTACACAGGCATCTACATGGAGGCTGCTCCCTCACTGATCTGAGCAGCAGGAATGTGCCTGGGGCCAAGTGACCATCTGGGCAGCTCCTGCCAGCCTGTTTCTGTGATGTATCGTTAAGCCTTGGGGGCAGAGAGGGTGGGGAACAAAAAACCCAGAGGGACCCCCCTCTAAGGAGACCCCCATCTTCCCATCTTTCTGTCCAGGCTTTTCAGGATATAGTCATCCCCTTTTTGCCCCCACCCCTTGGAGAGACGCTCTTCATATCTAAGGGATGAGGAGAAGACAGCAGGGCTCCAAGTGCACTGCATTCCTCTATGCTGCACCAGTCACCCAGAAAGAGGGTCTCAGTAAGAATCTCAGACTTGGCTTCCATCCCTGACTCTGCTCCTACTGCCTGTATGTTTGTGGGCAAGTCACTTTCTAAGTCTTATGCGTCTGTGAAATAGGAAAAATAATAGTGCCCACCTAATAGGGCCAATACCAACATGACTTGGTACGGGGGAATTGCTCAATATTCCTATCTCAGGAAATGTGCTGAGGAGACAGGCGAGTTGTGGTCACTGTTCTGACAGTTTGTTTCATCTATTTCAGACTGTAACTGGTTCGTGGAATTCTCAGCCTTGCACCAGGCCTAGCCTGACCCCTTCCTTAGGTGAGGGCTGTTCCAGAACCTGCACATAATGCATACTTTTCTTTCTTTTTTAAAAGAGGGATGCCTTACAGTGGTTCTCAACCTTCTGGCCCTTTAAATACAGTTCCTCATGTTGTGACCCAACCATAAAATTATTTTCGTTGCTACTTCATAACTGTAATGTTGCTACTGTTATGAATCATAATGTAAATATCTGATATGCAGGATGGTCTTAGGCGACCCCTGTGAAAGGGTCATTCGACTGCCAAAGGTGTCTCGACCCACAGGTTGAGAACCGCTGCCTTATTATTTAGCACTACAGTCAGTTATACACTTGGCCGGTCTGGTCAGGGAGGGGTTACCAGTTTCCTCCTTTTCCATGGTTGATGCAAGGCTTAAATGTAAAGCTCCACACCAGGTAGGTGCTCAATAAATGTTAGTCCCTTTTTCCATCCCTTTGGGACAATCTGGAACGTGGAACTGAAGACATTTTCTGGGAAGCTTTCAAGAGTCCAATCTAAGAAGAGGGTTGGTCCCCACGAGCCAGTAGAGACCATGCTACTACCTGCTTCCCAACCTGCTCTCCCTTGTCTAGGCTGGAGCTGTGCCACGGGCAGGTCTGAAGCAGGTGACCAAGTGCCTTGTATTCTTTATCTGTTCTCACAATAACCCTATCAGTCAAGTATGACTTCAAGTAAGAACCATGTTATTGATGAAGTAACGGAGACACAGATTCAATAAGTTGCTCAAGGCTGGGATTTGAACCCAAACAGCCTAGGTCCTAGTCTGTGCTCTATCAGCTCTGCTATGCCACGTCTCCACTACTGTTGAGGTTGCAATCCATCCTGGGAAGGCATATTGAAATGCTACTTTTTCTCTACTCTTTGTATCTGTGGGTCTAAATGTTCTTGGGTGATGGGATCTGACTGTACATGTAAAATTCCAGGAACTTGTTGTATTGAGGCCAGGTCTAGCCTGTTCTTATGGATCACCAAGTGCCAGAAACAGCATACTAACGGCTAGGACCAAAATTCACAAAAAATTGGATAGGGCCACAAATGGAGATGAGCCCCATTGTCAAGGTTTATCTTAAAAGGCATCAATGTGTGCACAGGTGTCTCTCTGCCAGAAAATCCTGTAGTTTAGAAAAATAATTTAAAGTGCATAGAAAATGTCTAGAAGAAAACCTTGATAAAATGAGATTGGGGGTAAGGGTACAGAAACATTTTGTATTTTACATACTTCAGTACTACTTAAACTTTAAAAAATATACTTTTA